TTCTCTGACCAGGGATCAAACCTGTGCCCCTGCAGTGGAAGCTTGGATTCTTAACCACTGGACTGCCAGGGAAGTCCTAAAACCAATTTCTTTTAAATAAAACACATTATCTAGGGAATTCCTCAGTGGTCTGGTGGTTAGGACTCCCTAAGTTCATTGCTGAGGGCCCTAGTTCAATCCCTGGTTGGGGAATTAAGATCCCACAAGCTGTACAACTTGGCCAAAATAAATAGATAAAATAAATACACTTCTTTTAAAAAACCCACATTATATAGTGACTTCTATATGCACTACAGTTTGAAAATCCCTGAATGCAAAAGCATTACATGGCGAATAAATAAAAAGAAATGATCAAAACAGGATTAAAAATAACACTGACTTGGGTAAGAAACAGTATATTGACACTACCTATATTTTTCTTTTGTTTTTCCTTTTCTGTTGGCCATGCTGTATGGCTTAGGGGATCACAGTTCCCTGACCAGCAATCGAATCCAGGCCATGCAATGAAAGTGCCAAGTCCTAACCACTGGACCCCCAGGGAATTCTCTATGCTAGCTATATTCTATGCACTGTGCTAAATTATATAGTCTCACTTTCAGGCTGAAGACATATTATGAAATATCCACATCATTTATAATTAACAATATTTAAACAAACCTTTAGATAGAGAAGGTCAAAAAGTAGTCGAATAGATGAGAAAACTCAGTCTTACTCTTTAATAGTACAAAATATAAAATACAAAGCTAGCATTTCACTTATTAGATTTAAAAAAATGTTCAGTTCAGATGCTCGGTTATGTCCAACTCTTTGCGACCCCATGGACTGCAACATACCAGGCTTCCCTGTCGATCACCAACTCCCGGAGCTTGCTCAAACTCAGGTCCATTGAGTCGGTGATGCCATCCAACCATCTCATCCTCTGTCGTCCCCTTCTCCTCCCTTTCTTTCTCCTCCTCAATCTTCCCCAGCATTAGGGTCTTTTCAAATGAATCATTTCTTCACATCAGGTGGCCAAAGTACTGGAGTTTCAGCTTCAGCATCAGTACTTCCAATGAATATTCAGGACTGATTTCCTTTAGGGTGGACTGGTTGGATCTCCTTGCAGTCCAAGGGACTCTTTCAAGAGTCTTCTCCAACACCACAGTTCAAAAGCATCAATTCTTCGGCACTCAGCTTTCTTAACAGTCCAACTCTCACACCCATACATGACTACTGGAAAAACCATAGCCTTACTAGACAGACCTTTGCTGGCACAGTACTATCTCTGCTTTTTAATATGTTATCTAGGTTGGTCATAACTCTTCTTCCAAGGAGCAAGTGTCTTTTAATTTCATGGCTGCAGTCACCAGCCAAAATCATCTGCAGTGATTTTGGAGCCCAAGTGTTAAAGACATAATATCTGAGGCTGGTGAAGGCAAGAGTGAAGGGATGTTCTCATTCAATGTTAGCTGTGCCATAAACTGGTTTAACTTTCTTAGAGAGCAAACTGTCACTAGCTACCAAAATTTACAATGTGCACATGTGTGTGCATTTGCTACTGAGAGAGTCCCATACAACAGAAGAAATTCACACATAAAAATGCTTATTATATAGTAGCCAAAATCTCGAAACAGTCCAATGTCCATCAAGCAAAGATTAAATAAATCATGAAATATCTACAATATGGAATATTTCATGGGGTTATAAAAAAGATAATGATACAAATGGATGCATACTGAAATGAAACAATGCCCACTACTCATTATAAAAGTTCACTGGCTTGCATATATTTCTTTTTGTGTGAAATAAGCTGTTTATTAGTGATGTATAGAAATAAGAATATTTACATATGCATAGGATAGATCTAGAATGATATACACTAGGCTGTGGTTTCCTCCCTTAGGACCAGGACTGGTGAGGGAAGAGAGAGAATAAAGGGCAAGCAGAAGACTTTTTAAAATTTCATAATCATCTCTACTACTTCCCCCCTCTCAAACAGTAAACATGGATTACTTCAGAGAAACTTTTAAAAAATGTCTTAAAAAGTGAGAATGGGCTTCAGTTTATCCATAGCTTGAAGCTAGAAAAATATCTTTTCAGGGCTCTTCATATCAGTGAATACAGAAATAGCCAGCCCCAAATACTGAATTAAACATCAAAATGACATTCCTTAAGATCAAATTCCATGGGTATTACAATTGAGAACCATTACACAAAACTAGCATATTCAGGCATCTTTCAACTATACTTTAGTGACATTCCATTATGTAAAATAAAGGCTAATGTGGTTGGCAAAGCCTTCTGGGATCTAGTCCTATGCTTCTCAGACTGTAATATTCATGCAGCTCACCTGTAGATCTTGCTAAAATGTAGATTCTGATTCAGTGATAGGGCTGGAGAGCCCCCTTTTCTATTAAGTACCACAGACTGTACTTCAAGTAGCAAGGATCTAGCCCAAGTTCCTTAGTACTCCCCATCCTTAACTTTGAAAATTAACTGATTTAAAAAATAATTTAGAAATTAGCTTTATCTTAAGCATCTCTCCCTCAGAAGTCATTTTTTTTTAAGTGAATTAACATAAAATCTCAATTTTTAAAAAAGCCCTTTTGGGGCAGCAATAATAGCCCTTATGAAAAATCAGCATTTGATCTGAATAGCAATTGAGTAGTATTTTAATTATTTGCTGGCAGGGGGAGCTATATTTTAAACAGGAGCGTTAGTGTAACTAGGCCTCCATGGCTTCTGGTTAACGCATTAAATACAGAAACTCTCCACCACCTCCAAAGTTTCCATCACAACCCACAAAGTTGCCAGATCCACCTCCACGACCTCTTTGTGATCCACAGGTTGCTTTTCTTGTTTAGGAAGGGCCTTTTTCATGTCACAGTTCATCCATTAATAGTGTGGTATTTCTGAACACCAATTTTTTCAACTGTATCATGATAGTCAAAAGTTACAAAAGCAGGGACTTCCCTGGTGGTTCCGTGGTTAAGGATCCACCTTGCAATACAGGACACACAGGTTTGATCCCTGGTCAGGGAACTAAGATCCCACATGCCAGGAAGCAGCTAAGCCTGCACATTCCAACTAACGAGCTCACATGCCTCAACTAGAGTCTGTGCACCGCAGTGAAAGATCCCCCAAGCTGCAACTAAGGCCCGATGCAGTCAAATAAATAAGTAAATACCTATTTTTTAAAAGTGACAAAAGCAAATCCTCTTTTCTCTACTTTACCTGTCTTCCATAACTTCTAAAGTTTCAATCTTGCCATATTTCTCAAAGCAGTCGCTCATATTCTTCTGTATCTTCTTTAATACTACCAACAAAAATTTTCTTTGCTTTTAAAAGGGCATTAGGCTTTACAGAATCCTCCAGAAACAGCTCTGGTTTCACCAAACACCCAGCAACTTCATGTGGTTCTGCACTCATTGCCACATTCACCTCTTCAATGCCTAAGTAAGTCATAAGACTAAAACTCCTAGAATGTTTTGTTTGGGCGTCTCTTATCACTGCTCGATCTGTCAGCGTGTCCCATTCCTCAAAATGTTCTCTTAAACTATCATCTGTAGTTTCGGAGCAGAGTTCTCCGCTGTGCTGGTTCCTCTGGATCACAGCCCCCCTCCTTCTGGTGGTGGCCAGCTGGGGGTGACCTGGTGGTGGTTTTACCTCTGTTCCCTGGTGGCTCAAATGGCAAAGAATCCACCTGCAATGCAGGAGACCCAGGTTCGATCCCTGGGTCGGGAAGATCCCCTGGAGAAGGGAATGGCAACTCACTCCAGTATTCTTGCCTGGAGAATCCCATGGGCAGAAGAGCCTGGCAGGCTACAGTCCATGAGGTCGCAATGACTAAGTGTGACTAATGCTTTCACTTTCACTTGGAAACCAGACTTGCCTCTTCCAACTCAAGTTCAATAATGGGGCCAAGAAGAGGAGGCCTCCCCATTCTTTCAACTTAGTGAACTATTGCCCTTTCCCACACACCATGTTCTTCATACCTTTATGCCTTTTTATATCTTATACTTTCTTTTTTCTCTATTTCTTTCTGGTTCTCCCCTCACCTACTCCCCTTCAAAAGCTTTTACTCTGTTAGAGGTTTAGTTCAAACTTTGCAGATATTTCAGGTATATGTGAATGCTGTTTCTTTCTTATTCTGAGACTCCTATGCATTCAGGTTTGACTGTCACACTTGTTTTTCCTAAGTCCATCTCCCTGTGGAGTTTGAGGATAAACAGTATCCCTTCTCAGCACACAGATACAAAATAAATGCTTTCTGTGTACAAGTCACTAAAGAATTAAGTTTCTAGGACTTCCCTGGTAGTCCTGTGGTTAAGACTCGGCTCCCAATGCAGGGGGCCCAAGTTCGATCCCTGCTCAGGGAACTACATCCCACATGCCGCACCCAAGAGATCGCAAGCAGCAACTAAAGATGCCACGTGCCCCAACTAAGACTCTGCACACCCAAATAACATAAAAAAAAAAATTAAATTTCTGCCGCCACCTTTGAAATAATGGTTGTCACGATCACTTTTTTAATTATTTAATTAATTTTGGCTGTGCTGAGTCCATGTTACTGTGCCAGCTTTTCTTCAGTTGCAGCAAGTAGGGGCTGGCTCTCTAGTTGCGGACTGATGGCTTCTCTTTGCAGTGGTTTCTCCTGTTGCTGAGCACAGGCTCTAGGGTGTGTGGGTTTCCGCAATTGCAGCTCACGGGCACTGGAGCACAGGCTCAAACAGTTGGGGTGAACAGGCTTAGTTGCTCGGTGGCATGGGGGGTCTTCCAGGATTAGGAACAGAACCTGTGTCTCCTGCATTGGCACTCAGATTCTTTATCACTGAGCTGCCAGAGAAGTGCCTCTCTGATACTCTTTAAAATGCTTGAGGGAAAATAAGAATGGCATCAAACTTTCAACATACCTTTCCCTCCTTATATTAATTAGAATTTTTACTACACTTTAAAAACAAACGACAGAATGGCATCTGAAATCAAACGCTTACACAGGCAGCCCCCGCTTTGCCACTCACCTTCCTCATCTATCCATTTCATGGTGAACAGTTGTTCGTTGTCAAAAGAACACATGTCTCGAACCTCGTTACAAAGACCCTCAAAGGATATTGAAGGTTCAAAATGTGTTATCATGATATCCCTGAAAAAGAAAAAGGAGTTTTAAGTTAGAGACTGACTAATAATGCCTGATGATTTGATGGACTTCAGAGATTCTGTGTGGACATCAACATGTGTCACTTCCAGTAAACTATCTCTGTAAAAAATAAAACACCAATACTTAATAATGCTTAAAAATAAACACAGTGGTTTTGTGAGAAACCATAATTTAATCTCCCCTCTTCATTCAAGAAGCCCACCCTACCTGCTTTAACAAAGAGGAGGTCCACTTTTGCTTTAATGCTAGTTATCAGAAGCTCATTCTTTTGTAAGCACTATACTCCACAGACAAGTAGCTCTATTATTGGTCAGTTTCTGGATTATACTTAACTGAAATAACTTACAGTCTCTAATCGCTAATCTCTCCTCCCCTACAAGTCTATCTTCATCAAAGAGATGGCCCTTCAAAAATTTAATAAGGATCTGTCACGTCCTCTTCCTCAGCTTTAACTTCCACAGACTAACCACCCAGATTAGCAACCCAATCCCCAAAACTGGCTTTAAAATATAATTCATATTATAAGGTAGACACCCCCAAAACAAAGGAATAGACATAAATGTGCATTTATTTTCATATTACTATAAGTCATAACACCTAAATAAATCCACCGAGCAGCTATTTACTACAAGACTCAAAAACACAACAAAATGTTTTAGAACAAAAGTCTGGGTTTTCCTCCAAGGAACATTGAGAAGACTCGCTGTGATCTAATCCCCACGGAGTAGCCAGCCACAGTCATCCTTTCCAAGGAAAGTCAAATAGACCCAATGACTAACTCAACAAATACATAGCGATCTCCATGTGCCAGGCTCTGTCGCAAGGGTTTTACAAAATTAATGTTGTTCATGTCTTTCCTTTGCTTTAAACTCTCCAAATGCCTTTCCCAAAAGGAAAGGGAAACCCAGACTCCCCAGCAGGGTCCACAAGGCCCTGGAGGAACTGGCCCTTGCTGCCCCTCTGACCTACCACTGGACAGATAAACCAAAGTTTAGAGTCCACCATCTGCCCCAGCTAAGATGTAAGCTTGATGAAAGTAGGAATTTTGTTCATTCTATTCCTAGTGGCCGATACAATGTCTAGCACAGAACGGGTATCCGATAAGTAGTTGTTGAAGAAAGGAAGGAAATGTGTTAGGGACTGTGTGAACTGACATGGGTAGTTGGAACACAGAGTGTGGAGTAAGAAGGTAGGTATTAAAACTGTCAGTCATCTGCAAAAAAAAAAGTTAAAACTCCAGTCTTCGGAGGCTCTAGAGAAGCTTAGCAGAGAGCCACACATGGAAAGTGCATGGCCTTTTTTTGAAAATGATTCTCTTCCTAAGCATAATGGTTTCATGCCCCTGCCTCTTAGAACTCACTTGCCTTGGCTTTCCTAACAGTCTGCTTCTCTGTCTCCCTTTCTACCATTCTGAACACTTATTAAGTCTCCTCTGTCTTCAATCATAAGACATTCTTCACACCTTCTCTCATATTCCTTCTCTCTTTCTGAAACCTAATTCACTTTTAGTGTTTTATCTATTAACTCTATGTAAGTATATCCTAAATCTGTAATTTCAGCTCTCTTTGTGGTATTTAATACTCTCGATAAGCTAGTTGCAATTTCTATTCTCAACGTGATCCCACCATTTCCAGCACAAACACTCTATTACAGACATCTGTACTCACAACCCCCATACATAAGACTTTGATGATCCAACTTTTAATCCTGTCACTTCCTCAGTTAAGGAGGGAGGTGGAAATTTTTCTTCAACACCATCTTTTTTCTTCAACATCAACTTCCATTAAATCTTTTTCAACCTCATAAGCCCAATGGTCTATACTTCTAAACCTGCCCAAGCTGTATCCTGTGCTCCATTTTTTGTTATTCAATTAATTATATACACACATCCTTAGCTAAATTATAAACTGGAAGATAAAAAATTCTTGACTCTTTAATATACTCACATAACTATTTTATATACACAGTAGGGACTCAAATATTTCTCAACTGAATGTACAAGTAGTATTTTCTAGGAGACATCCATCGTCTGAAAAGTGTACTCTTGACAGCAAAGAAGAACTAAAGAGCCACTTGAGGAGAGTGAAAAAGTTGGCTTAAAACTCAACATTCAGAAAACAAAGATCATGGCATCTGGTCCCATCACTGCATGGCAAATAGATGGGAAACAGTGGAAATAGTGACAGACTTTATTTTCTTGGGCTCCAAAATCACTGCAGATGGTGACTGCACCCGTAAAATTAAAAGATGCTTGCTCCTTGGAAGAAAAGTTATGACCAACCTAGACAGTGTATTAAAAAGCAGAGACATTACTTTGCCAACAAAGGTCCATCTAGTCAAAGCTATGGTTTTTCCAGTAGTCACGAATGGATGTGAGAGTTAGACTATAAAGAAAGCTGAGCACTGACAAATTGATGCTTTTGAACTGTGGTGTTGGAGAAGACTCTTGAGAGTCCCTTGGACTGCAAGGAGATCCAACCAGTCCATCCTAAAGGAAATCAGTCCTGAATATTGATTGGAAGTACTGATGCTGAAGCTGAAAACTCCAATACTTTGGCCACCTGATGCAAAGAACTGACTCATTTGAAAAGACCCTGATGCTGGGAAAGATTGAAGGCAGGAGGAGAAGGGGACGACAGAAGACAAGATGGCTGGATGGTATCACCAACTCAATGGACGAGTTTGAGTAAACTCTGGGAGTTGGCGATGGACAGGGAGGCCTGGTGGGCTGCAGTCCATGGGGTCGCAGAGTCGGACACGATTGAGCGACTGAACTGAACTGACAAGGAAATACCAGTGTTTATGTTTCCTTAGCCTATAAACATGTACAGATTCTTTAGTATGTTTCAGGTGTTTGAACAAACAGGTTATATGATTTTCATAACTGTCAAACTAATCTTATTTTACAGATTTAAAAAGCAAAGCACAGAGGAATATTTGCCAGAGTTTCACAGTTAGGAAACAGAAAATTAATTCAAATCCACATCTCCTAATAACACTTTTGGATACTGTGATCTGACCATTCCCCTCTCCACCCCACCTTCAGAATTCCCCATTAGCAATAGAGCACCTGTCATACCAGCTGCTGGGAACCTACCAGCTGCTGCTGCTAAGTTGCTTCAGTCGCGTCCGACTCTGTGCGACCCCATAGATGGCAGCCCACCAGGCTCCTCCATCCATGGGATTTTCCAGGCAAGGGTACTGGAGTGGGGTGCCATTGCCTTCTCCGATGCTACCAGCAGACATCCGCAATCTTCAACCTCTTTCAGAGATTCGACTCCTCATCTATAGTCAAAGCCCCTTCCTGGCCAGCCCACAACCAATGACCAATTCGGTATAAAGGTCCTACAAGTGACTTGCAAAAGCTATGAAGTGCCAATTCATCTTTAGAACTCCCTGGAGGGTGAGCTAAGGTTTCTGTTGAGACTTCACAGCATCTTGCTATCTTCCTACCTAAACTTGCTTCCTTCTGTCCCTTTATCTTCCATAGCTATCAACCGCAAAAAATACTCCTGAAAAAAAACCAGCTGAATGCTCATCTGTGACACCACCTCCCACAAGAGCATCCACCCAAGGCATAGCTACCATTAGATGTTATTTTGTGACAAAGCATAATGGGTACAATAAATTAATCTCACTTCTAAGAGACTGGCTAATGGAAACTATAATCCTTGTTTCAGAGATTTAATGAGTCTAATTTAGTACATGGGCTTCCCAGGTGGCTCAGATGGTAAAGAATCTGCCAGCAATGCAGGAGACCTGGGCTTGATCCCTGGGTTGGGAAGATCCCCTGGAGGAGGGAACGGCAACCCACTCCAGTATTCTTGCTGGGAAAATCCCCATGGACAGAGGAGCCTGTACAATTTAGTACGTGAAACTAATTTTTTTTTTCAGAGAAAATACATTGCCAGCACATAAAAATTATACATATTCCCCCAACTAAATGTAAAATCCATGAGAGCAAGCATTTTGTTTTGCTCATCGCTTATCACCAATATCTAAAACAACATCTGGCCAAGAATGGATGCTCAATTAATACATGTTGAGTGAACAGAGATGTCATATGTTAGACTCTAAAAAAAGCACGAGGAAATGTAAAATAAAAAGCATTCCACAAAGGAGGGATGACATATTCGAGGTAGCCATAGTATAACGGTTAAGACATGAGAGCTAAAGCCAGTATGTTTGGGTTTGAATCCAGGCTCTATCACTTACCAGCTCTATGGTCTTAAGTGAATTATTTGACTTCTCTATTGGTTCAATTTCCTCACCTATAAAATGAGAATAATATTATCTTCTATGGTATTTTAAGGATTTAATGTGTCAAGTGAATTTACACTTGTAATACTTAGAATAGTACCTAGCATATTGTTTGTTGTTTAGTCGCTAAGCTGTGTCTGGCTCTTTTGTGATCCCATGGACTGCAGCCTACAAGTCCTGAGATTTCCCAGGGAAAAATACTGGACTGGTTGCCATTTCCTCATCTAAGGGATCCTCCCAACCCAGGGATCGAATCTGCATCTCTTGCACTGGCAGGCGGATTCTTTACCACTGACGCACCAGGGAAGACCAACCTAGCATATAGCATACCCTTAATGTGTTCAACAGCTTTTAAAACTTTATGTATTCACATAACACTTTAAATAAAAGTGGAACCTTATTAGATGAAAACAATCCAGCTTTCTAAAGACAGCATACAGATTGTTTAATATGGTGGAGGGCACAAACATCTATATCCTTTCTGAGTGAAAGAGTTAAGTTTCTCGGTCATGTCCAACTGTTTGTGACCCCATGGACTGTGGCCCACTAGGCTTCTCTCTTCATGGAATTCTCCAGGCAAGAACATAGGAGTGGTTTGCCATTCCCTTCTCCAGGGGATCTTCTCGGCCCAGGGACTGAACCCAGGTCTTCCGCAGTGTATGCAGATTATTTACTGTCTGAGCTACCAGGGAAGCCCCTTCCATTCTAAGGGCCCACTGAAATGA